GAGGACTGATCCTCTCCTGCAATACTGAAAGCCATGGCCCAGGTGAGTTGATGCTTTTTCTTACCTTCCTGACATTTAGTTTCAAATTTAAAAAAAAATTTTTTAAATGGTCGTTTGAGTGTTTGTTTTCCTACTCCTGACATCTTTGGCTATCAGGTTTCCCCTTCAGGATCCTTGGTCTCCTTTTCCTCTCAGTCTAACCAGATAATCCTTTACCATTCTTAAGTGCCCTCTTTTTTTGACCCAGCATTAATATTTTCACCTGGCATCTCTTTTCTTAGCCCTCTCCCAGGAGCTATGATGGAAAGGAAATGAGAGTAGATTTGTAGAATGAACTTATGCTTTCCAGATGGTGATTTGATGAGGTGGAGATGTGTAGGTTGCTTAGTTGGGAGCAAACATGGGTTTGTTCTACAGATCGGTATTTACCAGTGAGATAGTATAGGAAGTGATATTGGTAGTTCCAAATGTTAGACTGTTGCAAGACCTCCTGGTTTATGAGCTTGGAAGATTGTGGGCTCGGTAGCTGATCCCGACAGATCTCTGTGACTTTTAGGGCATCCATGAACGAAGTTCAGTTTGAAGTTGGACAGGAAGTGTGGGTCATGAGGAATTTCCATATGAATCACCAGTTTTCTTTATCTCAGAAATAAGGATAATCCCTGAAGGGAGATACCTGCATCTCTTTTAGCTGATTACAATAGAATATATCCATTATTTTAATTAATATTCCTATATTGCTGTTTCTTGATTAACCAAATTTTTAGACATTTTGTAGTTATTTTTTTGCAAGGTATATGTGGATTTAGATTTGCTATATCACACTCTACTTCCTTTTCCCACAACAGAGTTATATCACAATTTTGTTTAAATCAGTGCTATTCATATGAGTAGAGCCTTGCAGATATTCTATTCTATATGAACCCCCTTTAAAAAAACTTTATAATAATAAATTTCAGACATAGGAAAGTAGAGGAGTTATGAACTACCATATACTCACCATTCAGCTTCAAATCCGAGTCAATCTTGTTTCATTTATACTGATACCTGTTTTTTCTTTGCACACTACCCTGCCCTCACTTCTACACACAGGATTATTTTGAAGCAAATACAAATTGGTATGTATTTCTAAAAGACAAGGATTATTTTTGGAAACAACCATTATGCCATTATTGCCTCTAGAAAAGTTAGAAATAATTTGTTAATATCATCAATATCTAGCCAGTGTTCAAGTTTTGAATAATTGTTTATTTGAATTAGAATCCAAATAAGGACTGTGCCCTGCAGTTCATTGAGGTCTTTTGAGTCTCTTATTTTGCAGGTACCCCTTCCATCTATTTTCTTTCTGTGTATGTTTTTGTTAGAAAAGAAAAAAAATGGTTCATTTGTCCACTGTTTGGATTTTGCTGATTGCATCTCTGTGGTATCATTTAACTGTTTCCTGAAAATTGGTAGTTAAGTCTAGATGCTTGGTCAGATTCAGTTGAGATTTTTTTTTTTTTGTCATGAATATGTCACACGTGGTGATATGTGATTCCATCAGAAGACACATTATATCTGGTACTCTTTCTTTTTGTCATGTTATCCACCATCGATGATTACTGTCTAGATTAGAGGTTGCAGAATGATATTTTAATTGTCATTCCTCCTTCATAGATTAGGTGAAATACTCTTTATTTTTTATTTTTATTTTTTTAAGATTTTATTTATTTGAGAGAGAGGAAGTGCTGGGGAGAGAGGCAGAGGGAGAGGGAGAAGCAGATTCCCCGCTGAGCAGGGAGCCCGATGTGAGGCTCCATCCCAGGACCCTGGGATCATGACCTGAGTCAAAGGCAGATGCCTAACCGACAGCCACCCAGGCGCCCCTGAAATACTCTTTATAAAGTAAAACTTCTCATCAACTGTTTGGTTACCCTGAAAGATAGTCTGTCTAGGAAAGAATATTTGAATAATGAGTTGGTTTCTTAGAATCCTAAAAAGGTGACCAGTAGTTTTTTATTCATTGTTGTTAGGAGCTCATGATTTAAACATTTTTTTATCTGTAGGTCCATTATACTGGATCCTCAGATTATACCATTTTTAGCCATTGAGAGGCTCTTCAAGTTGGTGCCTGAGTTCATGTAATATGATTCTAGTAGTTTTTGATAGCTCTCTTGCCTTCTGATATAACAGAATGTTCAGTCTCATCCTGGCATTTCTGACTCAATCCTGAAATCATCTCTTTCCCCAAAGGATCTTGGTTCCTTTTATTTGAATATAATACTTAGGGACTACAGTCTAGACACTAGGGGTACTTATTCCTACTGGATGAATTATTATTTGTAGGCCTTTTCAATAGATAAAGTCAGGAAATTGTTTTCAATATAAAATAAACTGATTAACCTTTTTGTTCTAGTTAACATACAATGTTATATTCATTTCAGGTGTACAATATAGTGATTCAACAATTCCATATATTACTCAGTATTCATCAAGATAAGTGTACTCTTAATCCCCTTCATTTATTTCACCCATCCCCCCGACCACCTCTGCTCTGCTAACCATCTGTTTTTTCTCTATAGTTAAGAGTCTTTTGGGCGCCTGGGTGGCTCAGTTGGTTAAGCGACTGCCTTCGGCTCAGGTCATGATCCTGGAGTCCCAGGATCGAGTCCCGCATCGGGCTCCCTGCTCGGCAGGGAGTCTGCTTCTCCCTCTGACCCTCCTCCCTCTCATGCTCTCTGTCTCTCATTCTCTCTGTCTCAAATAAATAAATAAAAAAAAAAATCTTTAAAAAAAAAAAAGAGTCTTTTTTGTTTGTTTGTCTCTTTTTCCTTTGTTGGTTTGTTTTATGTTTTAAATTTGACTTATGAGTGAAATTATATGGTATTTGTCTTTCTCTGACTTGCTTACTTTGCTTAGCATTATATTCTCTAGATCCATCCATGTTGTTGCAGTGGCAAGATTTCATTCTTTTTATGGCTGAATAATATTCCATTGTCTGTATAAATACCACATCGTTATCCATTCACCTATCAGTGGACAGTTAGGTTGCTTCCATAATTTGGGTATTATAAATAATGCTGCTATATAAGCATAGGGGTGCATGTATCCCTTTGAATTAGTATTCAGTAATGCAATTACTGGATCATAGGGTAGTTGTATTTTTAATTTTCTGAGGAACTTCCAAACTGTCTTCCACAGTGGCTGCACCGGTTTGCATTCCTACCAAGTGCAAGAACATTCCTCGTTCTCCACATCCTCACCAACACCTATTGTTTCTTGGTTGTTCATTTTAGCCATTCTGACAGGTGTGAGGTGATAGCTCATTGTGGTTTTGATTTGCATTTCCCTGATGATGAGTGATGTTGAGCATCTTTTCATGTGTCTGTTGGCCATCTGTATGTCTTCCTCGGAGGAATGTCTGTTCATGTTTTTTGCCCATTTTATAATTGGATTATTTGGTTTTGGGTATTGAGTTGTATCAGTCCTTTATATATTTTGGAGACTAACCCTTTATCAGATATGTCATTTGCAAATATCTTCTCCCATTCAGTAGGTTGCCTTTAGTTTTTTTTTTTTAAGATTTTATTTATTTGCGAGAGAGAGAATGAGAGACAGAGAACATGAGAGGGAGGAGGGTCAGAGGGAGAAGCAGACTCCCCGCTGAGCAGGGAGCCCGACGTGGGACTCGATCCCGGGACTCCAGGATCACGACCCGAGCCGAAGGCAGTCGCTCAACCAACTGAGCCACCCAGGCGCCCCGCCTTTTAGTTTTGTTGTTTCCTTTGCTGTGCAGAAACTATTTATTTTGACGTAGTCCCAATAGTTTATTTTTTCTTTTATTTCCCTCATCTCAGGAGACATATCTAGAAAGATGATGTTATAGCCGATGTCAGAGAAGTTACTGCCTGTGATCTCTTCTAGGATTTTGATGGTTTTAGGTCTCACGTTTAGGTCTTTAATTCATTTTGAGTTTGTTTTTGTGTATCTTGTGTATCTTGAGTCTTCCCAGCACCATTTATTGAAGAGACTATCTTTTCCCCATTGTATATTCTTTCCTCTTTTGTCAAAGGTTGGCCACATAATTTTGGGTTTATTTCTGGGCTTTCTGTTCTGTTCCGTTGATCTATGTGTCTATTTTTGTGCCCGTTCCATATTGTTTTGATTATTACATCTTTATAATTTAACTTGAAGTCTGGAATTATGATACCTCCAGTTTTTTTTTCCTTTTCAAGATTGCTTTGGCTATTCTGAGCCTTTTGTGGTTCCATACAAACTTTAGGAATGTTTATTTTAATTCTGTGAAAAATACTGTTGGTATTTTGATAGGGATTACATTAAATCTGTAGATTGCTTTGGATACTGTAGACATTTTTTTAAAAGCTTTTATTTATTTATTTAACAGAGAGAGAGAGAGACAGCGAGAGAGGGAACACAAGCAGGGGGGTTGGGAGAGGGAGAAGCAGGCCTCCCACTGAGCAGAGAGCCTGATGCGGGGCTCGATCCCAGGACCCTGGGAACATGACCTGAGCTGGAGGCAGCCACTTAACAACTGAGCCACCCAGGCGCCCCTGGATACTATAGACATTTTAACAGTATTTGTTCTTCCAGTCCATGAGCATGGAATGTCTCCATTTATTTATGTTGTCTGTCTGCAATTTCTTTCATCAGTGTTTTATAGTTTCCAGAGCATGGGTCTTTCACATCTTTGGTTAAGTTTATTCATAGATTTTCTTTAAGATTTTATTTTTGGGTGTAACCTCTACACCCAACATAGGGCTCAAACTTAAAACCCCAGGATCAAGAGTCACATACTCTACCAACTGAGCCAGCCAGGCACCCTCTAGATATGTTATTATAAAATAAACTAATTACTCTTGCATCTATTTTTAAGATCCAAAGGTACTGATTCTGAGTGATACCAATACAGTCCCTCATTTGCTTTACCCCACAATACAAGTGCAGTAGTCTCTGAATTACTTCTTTTATTACACAAGTAATACATATGTTTATTGTTTCAGGGATCAGTGGTGTTCAGTGATGTGTCTATAGACTTCTCACAGGAGGAGTGGGAGTGCCTGGACCCTGGTCAGAGGGACTTGTACAGAGATGTGATGTTGGAGAACTATAGCAATCTGCTGTCAATGGGTAAGGGCTTCTATACCAGTAATTTAGAGTTCTTCTCTGGAATGTTTCTTCCACAGTGAATTTCCCAGCTGCTTTTCGAGTTACCGGCTGAATTTCTGCTCCCTATTCCCAAATAAGTGGTTTGAGCTGCAATGAAAAGGAAGAGTTGGAAATGGGCAACTCCAGTGACTGTGGCAGAAGCTTCATCCTCTTTCTTTGGCTGTTCCTGTAGTGGCATCTCCTCTTTTGTCATCAAGGGACTGGATCTGATTTCTGGATCTGGTTTACCCACAGTGTAACCATGTCCCATATCTTTTCTTGTGAGCAGGACTTTACATTCCTAAGCCTCAAGTTATCTCCTTATTGGAACAAGGAAAAGAGCCCTGGATGGTTGGCAGAGAGCTGACAAGAGGCCTGTGTTCAGGTGAGTGAGAAATGATTGGGCAGGAGCAAGGCATTACAGGTAAACTCAGCACCTTTGAGATGTTATCTAAGCTTGTTGGAAAAACCAAGTCCTCTTAGCGTGAGTTTACAAACGACCTGTTTCATTCCTTCTCTCACTACTCTTTCTGCTACTCTTCTCCAACAACCCTCATAATTTCAAGTGGGGTGAGCCCTTCACTTCCCCTCCAATAAAACTCTTTTGCCCATATTTTAGATTTAGTTCCTTGTTGGCTTTTCTTCCTCTTAAATGTTTCCTGTGTGTGCATGCATGCATGTGTGTATGCACAGCCCCTCCTCCAAGTACTGATCTTCATGAATATTACTTGCCAGTGACTTGTTTTATCAGTTTGTTGTGCATTATTTCTTTACTGTGTTTTTCATTTACTGATTTGTGCAAGAGAGCCTGCCAGGTGCTGTCATTTGCTAATCATGTCACCTATTAAGAACTTGGGAGTCAGGGGTGCCTGGGTGGCTCAGTCGTTAAGTGTCTGCCTTTGGCTCAGGTCATGATCCCGGGGTCCTGGGATCGAGTTCCGCACTGAGTCGCATTGGGCTCCCTGCTCAGCGGGGAGTCTGCTTCTCCCTCTCTCTCTGCCCCTGCTCATGTGCTCTCTCTCTCGCTCACTCTCTATCTCAAATAAATCAAAACCGGGGCGCCTGGGTGGCTCAGTCGTTAAGCGTCTGCCTTCGGCTCAGGTCATGATCCCAGGGTCCTGGGATCGAGCCCCGCATCGGGCTCCCTGCTCAGCAGGGAGCCTGCTTCTCCCTCTCCCACTCCCCCTGTTTGTGTTCCTTCTCTCGCTTTGTCTCTCTCTGTCAAATGAATAAATAAAATCTTAAAAAAAAGAAAAAAGAACTTGGAAGTCAAAAAGTAGTGCTAAAATATATCCATGAATAATTTCCACAAAGTAGAATCTAGTAAGGAGAATCAGGGGGCTTAGCAGAAAGTCAGTGGCTAAATACGCAGAAGTGGAAAATCCATACTGAATAGTTGGGAGTTTTGCAAGTGATTGCAGTCACCTTCTATGATGACAGTGTTGGGGAAAATGAAAAGGCCTATAATGGAAAGGAAGAGGTGTCAGAGGAGGCGAGATTTAGGATAAAGTGTTTACCTTATCCTAAATGCTCCAGAAGAGCATTACTGTATAGTAAGTATTGGTCCCAGTGGGACCAATGCTGGGAGTACAGCATTGAATAAAACATTCAGAGTTTTGCTCCTCTGGAGCCTATGTTCTAGAAGGTGAGAGAGAAAAAATAGATATGTTTACAATGTCAGATGGTGGTAAGTGATATGAAGGGAGGTTAGAGAAGGCCTCTTTGATGAGGTGATAATTTAACCAAAACCTGAAGGAAGCGAGGGAACAAGTGTTGTAAATATCTGGTAGAAGAGATTCAGGCAGAAGGAAAGGAAGAACAAAGTCCCTGAATTAGGAGCTTTTTGGCATCTACCATTGTGGTTGGAACAGAAGAAGCAAAGAGGGACTTGTGGGAAAGGAGATCGGCAAAGTAGCAGGATGTACGTGTGTTTGTGTGCTAGGTGCACGTGAGAGGTGGGGTGTGCCTGCAGATGATTTGGGGCCTTGTGGGCCTTGGTATGGGCTTTGAATTCTATTCTGAATGAGATGATTTGAGTGGAGGAGTGACATCATGTTTTTAAGGAGCTTGCTAATTTTGGATTCTTTGGAATAAAATTTAGGGAGTCCATGAGCTTGAAAGAGAAGGAAAAAATACTTTATATTTAACTAACCTCAAATTGAAAATTGCATATCTTCCTACTGTGGTGTATGGAACAAACCATAGCAGTATTGTATAGTTCCTGTGACTTTGACATGAATGGAAATCACAGATATTTTCATATCATCTTACTGTTAATGTAGACATATTGAAAAATTATTTGTTCTCATCAGTATTTCAGAATTACTATAGTACTAGGCTCAGTATTAGGTCTTACTATTTAATGTATTAAGAAAACTCCAGGGTGCCTGGGTGGCTCAGTCGTTAAGTGTCTGCCTTCGGCTCAGGTCATGAATCCAGGGTCCTGGGATTGAGGCCCACATCGGCCTCCCCAGTCAGTGGGGAGGCTGCTTCTCCCTCTCCCTTTGCCCCCGCCCCCACTCGTGCTCTCTCTCTCAAATAAATGAATAAAATCTTAAAAAAAAAAAGAAAAGAAAACTCCAAGTGGAGGGAAGAACCCCTGCGAAGGCCCTTCTAGGAGGGGAAAGCTTGGTGTGTTTGAAGAACTGAAAGAAAGGGAGGGTTACTGGGCTGGTGAGCAAGCAAGCGTCGAGTGTGAGTCAGGATTGGAGATCAGTTGGTCTTTGCCAGTGAGTGTGAGGAGTTTGGTTTCGAGCAGTGGAAGGCCAGGCCACATTAATTTTGGTTGCTGAATAGATTAAAGAGTGTGAGAACTTGGTGGGGAGATGGGTTGGGAGGCTACCTCAGTCGCCTGAGTAAGAGATGATTCTGGTTTGGAAGAGAGGCCATTGGCAGTGGACATAGAAGTGGATAGTTTTAAAAGTTACTTAGGAGCTTAACTCTATGGAAGTTGCTGAAATATTCTATGGGGAGAGGAGAAAAAAGATTATGCTAGAAAGAATTCCTTGTTTCTGGCTTGAGTTGTTCCAGTAGGCTCCATTTTGATGTCTTCAAACCATTTAATTTGCCTAAAATCCCCATTTTTGGTAAGAAATTCTTTCGTAATAATAGCTATCAAATACTGAACACTTGACTCAAAGACATTTACAGGCATTATTCCTTTCCCTCTCAGGAATCATGAGGTAAAGATGATCTCCCTTTTGCAGATGAGGAAATGAGGACTTAGGTTAAATAATTGCCCAGGAACATACAGTGAGTGACTGTGAGTTGGAGTTCCACTCTATCAGCTTGCTTCCACTTGTCATTTTTCCATGACAGTACTTTGCACTGTGTTATTTTCTTCCTGTTTGCCTTAAACGTTAGCTGCCTCCTTTTCAGCCACTGCAGTGGTACATGAGTAAGTCTCTTCTCCCAAGATCAGCATCACAAAATTCCAAGGCAAACAGTATTTTTACTGAATCACCAGAACAGAACATATTCTGAGTCTTCCCTATCTACTACTCACATCAATTTAGTTCAATACCTTAGATTGACTCTAGGCTCTGGCCCCTTGTGGCTAGCCCTCTGTAATCTCTTTCAAATTTCGGCCAGTCTATCCTTACTTTGGAACCTATTCAGTTTCCATCACAACTGGGAGTGCTGCAGTTCTGACCCTAACTGCCCAGAGTTAGCATAGACCCTACAGATTAATAGCAGAGTTGTACGCAAGACTGCCCTCGCTTTATTTTATTTTACTTTTTTAAAGATTTTATATATTTATTTGAGAGAGAGAGAGCAAGCACGAGTGGGGGGAGAGGGAGAAGCAGACTCCCCACTGAGTTCGATCCCAGGACCCTGGGATCATGACCTGGGCCAAAGGCAGATGCTTCACTGACTGAGCCACCCAGGCGCCCCTGCCCTCATTTTTAGATGCCAGCTGCAAGTCTCAGAGTTCTTAGACACTTACAGTTCTGAGCAACTGGCTATAAATTTGGGGATTTCCACAGCTCCTGCAAGTTCAATAATTTGCTAGAATGATTCACAGAACTCTAGAAAGCTTTATACTTATAATTGCAGTTTTACTCTGAAGGATACATTTTAGGGCAAGGTCTAAATGTATCCTTCAGAGTAAAACTGAAGTACACCGTCTTTCATGTTGGTGTGTTCACCAACCAGAAAGGTCCACTGAGCTTTGGTGTACAGAGTTTTTATTGGGATTTACTCACACTGGCATGATTGAGTGAGTCATTGGCCACTCAATCTCTGGCTCTTCTCTCCTCCCCAGAAGGCCAGTAGCTGAAGGTCTCAACCCTCTAATAACATGCTAGGTCTTTCTGGTGACCAGTCCCCATCCTGCAGCTATCTAGGGATCTGCTGTGAATCACCTCATTGGCATAGCAAAAAACATTCCTATCACTCAGGGAGTTCCAAGGGTTTTTGAAGCTCTGTGTTAGAAACCAAGGACAAAGACCAAATTTATTCTTTATCATACTACAGAGCCCAGAAATCTTCCCCATGTGCATTTGTTCCTCTCCAGAAACCTTTAATGGAGGTCAGCAAATTATCCACTTTTTGTGATACGTATAGTATGATGGTTTCTTACGTGTTCATACATGCATGCTTATATAGATGTATATAGGACTTGTCATCTTTTCATATGCCCAGTAGTGTGTATTTACCGTCCTTTCCTTATGATTCTGATCCACATCAATATTTGAGAATCGTTGTGGTTTCCTTTTTCTGTAGTCTCCTCCCTCACATTCTGCATTATATCTCATTAATTTCAGTGCAGTTTTGGGGTCTATTTTCAGGTTAAACAGATATACTTGAGAACTGTATGTCATTTACCAACAGATACTCTTTTCACTTTAATTTTTCCATTTCTATTATAGAAGTTTAAGTTTTCATAAATGGGTGATGGGAGTGGGGTGGTAAGAATATTTAACATTTCATTTTCTTTCAGATCTGGAATCAATGTGTGAAACCAAGTTACTGTCTCTGAAGAAGGAAGTTTATGAAATAGAATCTTGCCAGAGGGAGATAATGGGGCTTACAAAGCATGGCCTTGAGTACTCCAGTTTTAGAGACATTTTGGAATATAGAAACCACTTTGAAAAACAACTGGGATATCAAAGTGGGCATTTCAGCCAAGAAATATTCACTCATGAATACATGCCCACATTTATTCAACAGACATTCTTTACTCTACAGCAAATAATTAACAATGAAGAGAAACCCTATGAATGTAAGAAATGTGGAAAGGTCTTTAGTCAGAATTCACAGTTTATTCAACATCAGAGAATTCATATTGGTGAAAAATCTTATGAATGTAAGGAGTGTGGGAAATTCTTTAGCTGTGGCTCCCATGTTACTCGACATCTGAAAATTCATACTGGTGAAAAACCCTTTGAATGTAAGGAATGTGGCAAGGCTTTCAGTTGTAGCTCATACCTTTCTCAGCATCAGAGAATTCATACTGGTAAGAAGCCCTATGAATGTAAGGAATGTGGGAAGGCCTTTAGCTATTGCTCAAATCTTATTGACCATCAGAGAATTCACACTGGTGAAAAACCTTATGAATGTAAAGTATGTGGGAAAGCCTTTACTAAGAGCTCACAACTTTTTCAACATGTGAGAATTCATACAGGTGAGAAACCCTATGAATGTAAAGAATGTGGCAAAGCTTTTACTCAGAGCTCAAAGCTTGTTCAGCATCAGAGAATTCATACTGGTGAAAAACCCTATGAGTGCAAGGAATGTGGCAAAGCCTTTAGTAGTGGCTCGGCGCTTACTAATCATCAGAGAATTCACACTGGGGAGAAACCCTATGATTGTAAGGAATGTGGGAAAGCTTTTACTCAGAGCTCACAACTTCGTCAACATCAGAGAATTCATGCTGGTGAGAAACCCTTTGAATGTCTTGAATGTGGGAAGGCCTTTACTCAGAACTCACAACTTTTTCAACATCAGAGAATACATACAGATGAAAAACCGTATGAATGTAGTGAATGTGGAAAGGCCTTTAATAAATGCTCAAACCTTACGCGACATCTGAGAATTCATACTGGTGAAAAGCCCTATAACTGTAAGGAATGCGGGAAGGCATTTAGTAGTGGCTCAGATCTCATTCGTCACCAGGGAATTCACACTGATGAGTAACAAAAGTTAAAGCTCCTGTTACCTTCCAAATATTTTAAACAAAAAAAATTCACGTTTGATAGTTACGCTTTCACTATTTTTTGTTTTTAAATTTTATTTTATATTTCTTTTTAATTCAAATGTTTTTCACTCTAAGTTATGAATTAAGATTCTAAATTGACATTTACCCATCCCCGTTCCCCAATCTTGTACTAAGGGCAGTTCAATAATTCTTCTCTTGCCTATTATTTCATTCTACCTTCTTGGTGAGACATTATATTCTTGTTTATGTTTGCTTGTATTTTTTTCTTCTCTGATCTATGTATTTGTGCTTACATCAGTATCACACTGTTTAAAATTTGTGATTTTGTATTTTTTAATTGTAGAATTATAACCTTGTTTTTGAAGTCAGTATTAATCTTGTGTTTCATTTCACAAATTTGTATTTTCTTATATAAAACAGAAAATCAGAAAACCAGCAACTAAAAACCAAGATTAACAGTAATCATAGCAACTACCAATGACTACTCTTAAGTTGATAGAGCAAACCTCCCAGACTTTGTTTTTAAAGTCATGGTATGCATGCATGTTATCCCTTCACCTGTTTTGGTCATGCCAAAAAATACAGTTGCCATTTCAATAAATATAGATTTTTAAAATGAGTTATATATACTTAATGACTTTTCAAAACGACTTTATTACTCATGTTCTGTTTGCATCTAAACATTTGCAGTTATGAAATACGCCCTGATTACTATGACCCCAAATTTATCTTTGAATGTTTGTTTCTTTCTTTTAAAACATCTATTTATTGGGGCGCCTGGGTGGCTCAGTCGTTAAGCATCTGCCTTCGGCTCAGGTCATGATCCCAGGGTCCTGGGATCGAGCCCCTCATCGGGCTCCCCGCTCCACGGGAAGCCTGCTTCTTCCTCTCCTGCTCCCCCTGCTTGTGTTCCCTCTCTCACTGTGGCTCTCTCTGTCAAATAAATAAAATCTTAAAAAAAAAAACAAAACATCTATTTATTGCTGAAATTATGCACATTTTCTCCCTGTAAACTGTTTTGTTCCTTTTTATCCACCCCCATCTCATGCTAGAAAGATAATGAACCACTGTTATCAAAGTGTTGTTTATCCTTCTAGTTTTGTTTTGTTTTTACTTTTTACTCTTATATGTTAGTGGCAATTTATTTCTTATATATTATTAAAGATAATCATGCTGTATGTATTCATTTGTTGTGAGGATTCAATGAATTAATAAATGTAAAGTGCTTAGAACTATTCCTGTTACATAGTAAATGTTTAGTAAAAGTTGTCCACTATTATCATTGATACTCATTTTCATAGTTATCTTCATTATTATTTGTGGAAAGGATTTTTTTTAAGTTTATTTAAGTAATCTCTATACCCAGGGTGGGGCTTGAACTCATGACCCTAAAATCAAGAGACACACACTCTTCCGACTGAGCCAGCCAGGCGCTCCTATTTGTGGAAAGGATTTTAGCCATGTTGCTTACCTTTGTCTAAATCAAAGAATTCCTAATGAAAAAAAAGAGAGAAATGAAAGCTTTTCTTTTTTTAAGATTTTTATTTTAATTATTTGAGAGAGAGAGCACAAGCAGGGTGAGGGGCAGAGGGAGAAGCAGGCTCCCTGCTGAGCAGGGAGCCCTATGTGGGGCTCAATCCTGGGACTCCAGGATCATGACCTGAGCTGAAGGCAACCTTTTTAACCGACTGAGCCACCCAGATGCCCCTAGGAAAGCTTTTCTCATCACTCATTATTCATCATGGAATTTTAAAAGGAAAAAAAAGAATTTGTGAATAGTCTTTCTTCAGACTTCATCTTCTATGCTTGCACAAAAGATTAATGCCAGTCTGAAACCCTGTGGATATAATGATGAGTAGTTGAAAGCACAGCTGTCAAAAAATAGGAAGAGATAAGAATATTTTTCCTAATAACTAGTTCCCCCTCCCCGCCAAAAACAGAAAATATACAGGCCACAGTGTTTGACCAGAATGAAGAAAACAGTAACAATAGGATAGCCATCAAATATCTAAAATTTAAGTCCGTGCTCCCTATTGATTAACATGGGTCAGGGAACTAAGTCCTTAATATACATATTATTTAAATGTGAATGAAAACACAATTGAAAAACCTGTGAATGGCAGGTTGTATTGGAAGTTTTATAAACCAGTTTGCATGTATATATTAAAATACTAGACAGGTCATTAATAAACTCAATATAGAACTCAAGGAGCTTAAATAAGCAAAAATAAGCCTAAAATGTGGGTAGAGAAAGTCATTATTATACAGAAACAAATGAAAAAAGTAAACAAACTGAAATAGAAAATTTGATTATTTGACAGAAAAAAAAAGACACACCTTAGTCATTTGTTTGGGGAAGTAAGGATGATAGATGAACAGGATTGTGAAATTGAAACAACTACATATGTAATTAAAAGGATTTTATCTTTTTGGTTAATGACAGTGTTCTGAGATTTGTGGTGTAGGTTGCACAACTTTGTGAATATGTACTAAAAACCACTGAACAGTATACTTTAAAAGGGTGAATATAATAGTATATGAATTTTATCACAATTAAAAAAACAAAAGTACTATAGGTATTTTTATACCATATCTGAAAATCTGGACAAAGTATGGGATTTTTATTTTATTTATTTATTTATTATTAGAGAGAGAGAGACACAGCGAGAGAGCGAACACAAGCAGGGGGAGTGGGAGAGGGAGAAGCAGGCTTCCCGCCGAGCAGGAAGCCTGATGGGGGGCTCCATCCCAGAATCCTGGGATCATGACCTGAGCCGAAGGCAGATGCTTAATGACAGCCACCCAGGTGCCCCACGTATGGGATTTTTATAAAGAAATTGAACTGACACAGAATTGACTACAGCAGAGGTGTAAAATCTTAATAGATTCCCCTCCAAAAGGAACATTTTTAAATTACACCAAAATTACTTCAAATGCCACACAGCTATATTAAGGGAGACACCAAATTATATATATTTAATAGATGAAATCTCTGAAATGTTTTAGGAACTCTTTCAGGACACAGACTGAGACAGCAACTTATCTATTTCTATGAATTTATAATCCTAATGTTAACCAGTATTTCTTTTTAAAGATTTTATTTATTTTTTGACAGACAGAGACACAGCGAGAGAGGGAACACAAGCAGAGGGAGTGGGAGAGGGAGAGCAGGCTTCCCGTGGAGCGGGGAGCCCGATGCTGGGCCCGATCCCAGGACTCTGGGATCATGACCCGAGCCGAAGGCAGATGCTTAACGACTGAGCCACCCCGGCGCCCCTATAATCCTCATGTTAAAACTTGCTAAAAGAACAAAAAAAGATAATATGCCCAGAATTGGTTATGAAAACATGCAATGTTATAAATGTGCACATCAAATCTAGTCATCTATTGAAAGAAAATAAATACCTGTCACAATCTGGATTTAGGAACAAAATGTTTCTGATAAACCCTTATCCAAACTTGCTATTTGCTTTCTGAAACGAAAATCAAATTGATTTAGATAACATCGTATCCCTTAGTATCAGAAGCTCAGGAACCTAATGGATTGGGACAGCAAGGAATTCTTGGAATACAACACAAGATAATTGACATGGAATTTCTAGAGTTCAAATAACTAAAGCACTATAAGTGAAAATATACTCTCAAGCCCCAATGCCTTCTAAATACACAATTCTTGTTCTTAGCGGTATTTGAGAGAATGGGATTTATTTTATAAATAAAAAGAGTTATCCTACCTTCTGCAAAAGCACTGCATTCATCCATTTATATCCTGTCTACTTCTCACGTGAAGAGTCTTTAAACAAAGGCAATGAATGCAATTACTGCCATGCATATTAGTATAAGGGTGTAGTGGGAGGTGGGAAGGAGCTTATTCAACACAGAATTTCAACTTTGATTGCAATTAGAGCGTAGACGAATATGAAAAACCTTCACTGCCATGACTGCAAGAAAAACCTTGACAAGATAAAAATCATACTTTTATATGGGACTATCTAAGAGTGGTGGAGACAAAGAAGCATTGAACTGAATTTCTGATGGAAATAACCCCCTTTTAAGTGAACAGATTGCTGTGTGACTTTCCATACCTAAGTGCAGTGCATGTTATAGGGATGAGGATGAAGGAATATAGATGAAGAGACCATGGAGATAAAGAGAAATGAGAGCCTACAATGATACTTAGGACTTTTCTGGATGGATTAAAATCTGAAAAGCCCTGAATGCCAAAGATTTAAACAATACTATCAACCAACTTTACCTACTTGATATTTATTTAATGATATTCTCTGTACACTCTCTACCACAGAACATACTTGCTTGTCTATTATATAGGAAACATTACAATAGACCACATGCTGAATCATAAAATAAGATTCAGTAACTATCAACAGACTTACATCATACAGATTACGTTCTTTAATACAGAACTAAACGCAGCTCAATGATTAAAGATTATATAGAAAATCCTGTTTTCTTCCAGATGCTTGATAGTCTTAGCTTTTAACTTAGGTATGTGATTCACCTAGAATTAATATTTGTGTATGTGATAAAGTACAGGTTGAGGTTTCTGTTTTGTTTTTTTTATTTTGTGTGTGTGTGTGTGTGTGTGTGTGTGTTCCCCTCACACAGATACTCAGTTGCTCCAGTACTTTTTGTTAAAAAAAGACTTTCATCTCCAATAGGTGCTTTGGCACTTTTATTAAAAAAAAAAAATCAATTGACCATGGGGTGCCTGGGTGGCTCAGTCGGTTAAGCATCTGCCTCCGGGTCAGGTCATGATCCCTGGGTCCTGGGTTCAAGTCCCACATCTTTCTTCCTGTTTAGTGGGGAGTCTACTTCTCCCTTTCCCTCTACTGCTCTCTCTCTCTGTCAAATAAGTAAAATCTTTCAAAAAAAATCAATTGACCATAAATAAAGCAACACTTTATATGAGCAATGTACAATTGTAAAATGAAACAAAAATACAGTTTATACTAATATCAAAGAATACAAAATACTTAGGAGTAGTGTAATAAAAGATATGAAAGACCTTTATATGGAAAACTGCAAAACATTGCTGAGAGAAGTTAGACAAGATTTAAATAAATGGAAATACCATGGCTGTGGGTTGGAAACTCAGTATCTTTAGTCAATCTTCCCCAAAGTATCTACAGATTCAGTGCCACCCCAGTCAAAATACCAGCATTTTTTTAAATTTTTAATTGGTAAAATTATTCTAAAATTTGTACTGTAGTCCTCCCCCGGCCCCACTGCCTTATCTGCAAGGGATATGGTTCCAAGACCCTCAGTGAGTGCCTGAAACTGCAGCTAGTACAGAACCGGATTTTTCCTGCTTCTCCCTCTCCCACTCCCCGTGCTTGTGTTCCTGCTCTCGCACTCTCTCTCTGTCAAATAAATAAATAAAATCTTCAAAACAAAACAAAAGAACTGGATTTTTTTCTCTTCTCTCCTTATTAAGTCAAGAACTTGTACCTTTTCACTTAAAGGAAGTACTTTACAGCTTCTCGTTGACATATCCAAATTGCCAGCACCACTACTCTCGTGCTTTGGGGCTATTAGGTAAAATACGGCTTACTTGAGCACAGGTGCTATGATACCGTAACAGCTGATCCGAGAACCTAGACAGCTAAGTGACTAACAGGCGGGTGGCAGAGACAGTGTGGATACACTAGACAAAGGGACACGTCCTGAGTGGGACTTCATCACACTACACAGAACGGCTCACGAGTTAAAACTTACGAAGTGTTTACTTCTGGAATTTTACATTTGCTATTTCTGGACTGTGGTCTGATCGTGGGTAACTGAAACCCGGAAAGGGAAGCCGTGGATAAGGGGGGAGCTACTGTCTAGAAACCCAAAGACCTAGAATAGTTAAAAATCAGTATTGAAAAGGAACAAATTGGAGGACTTGTGGCATCTGAGTTCAAGCCTCGCTATAAAGCTCTGATAAGGACGGTAGTGTTTGTCTAAGGATAGACAAACAGGTCAATGCAGTAGAATAGAGTCCAGAAATAGAAAACAGTAAGCCTCAGAGTTCAACTTGTATATTCCAGTGTGTCACAAATTAGTTTGACCGTGAAAACCGTTTTCCTCCTCATGGTCATTAACATTTGTGAGAAATAAACACATCTGGGAAATAGTTACTTGACCAAAGCACATGATAGAAGGATAAAGTTTAGGAGATTACTGTAGATAGTTAGCCAAGTATCTGGAGTTAGGGCTTTTCCATGTCTCTAGTATTAGGCTCTAGTTTGTCAGGGAAAGTTGTCCTACTCTGCAGAAGGAAATTTCCTTCACCAAAGATCTCATAAATCTTTCCTTCTTCTATAATTTCCTCTTCAGTCAGATCCCGTGAGAGAGATTTTCTTGAACACCGAATTATGGTAATTTTTACAGGAAAAAGTGAATCCAAACCTTTCTTTTCCACATATGCATACATTTTTAATGTATCTTTTATTATATTCCTCTACCAAAATTACAGCAGTAATATATTTTCACAACTAGTAAACAATGAGGTCATATAAATAAATATCATGCCCCATCTCAATTCTTTCAGACATATCTATAATTTCAACAAAGCTTATTTATCTTTTCATACCTTTCTCCCTGCTCATATCAACATCGCACATGTCAATCTGATTTGTCCTTATTCAAGTTTTTAAATGGCACCAAGCTTGGGGCAACTGTCTGGCTCAGTTGGTGGAGCATCTGACTCTTGATCTCGGAGATCATGAGTTCAAACCCCACATTAGGCGCGGAGATCACTTAAAAAATAAATAAATGGCGGGCGCCTGGGTGGCTCAGTTGGTTAAGCGACTGCCTTCGGCTCAGGTCATGATCCTGGAGTCCCGGGTTAGGGTTAGCAGGGAATCTGCTTCTCCCTCTGACCGTCCCCCCTCTCATGTGCTCTCTCTCTCTCTCAAATAAATAAATAAAATATTTAAAAAATAAATAAATGGCACCATGCTATGCATTGTTTTCTCTAACTTTCTTTGCTCAAGCAACAGTCTATCTTGTACATCCCTTCAGATCAGTAGGTATAATCTTATTCTTTCTAAAATCTTCATTATATTGTACATTATATTCCTGCTCTTGGTTATTTGTGCCTTTTCTTTTTCACTTAATTAGTTTTTGTAGTGGTTTATTGATCTTTTGAAAGAATGACTTCTCGCTTTCTTGGTAGTCTCTGTTGTGTGGCTGTTTTCTTTTTTATGTATTTATTTTTCTGTTTTTATTATTTTCTTACTCAACTTTTGGTTTAATTTAATGCAATTTTTAAAATTTAGGTGAATTTTTGTTGCATTGATTTTTACCATTTCTTCTTTTCTAATATGTATATTTATGACTATAAATTTCCTGTAAGATTTACCTCATCTGTTTCTTATGTTTTATTTTGTTTATCACTTCATTTATATAATTTTATAAGTTCAAGGTAATCATTTTCTTCAATCTATAATCATAGAGGGAGGTCCCATGTACTCTGCACTCAGTTACCCTCAATGGTAATATTTTGCATAACTATAGTCCAATATCAAAAAAAGATTTTACCAGTTTTATATGCACTTATTTCTGTATGTAACTATTCTGTATAATTTTATCATGTGTGTAAGTTTCTTGTAGCCACCACAATATACAAAACTGTTTAATCACCACAAGGCTACCTTGATGCTACCACTTTATAGCCATGCCCACCCCTTCCCACATCTTTAAGCCCTGCAACTATTCATCTGTTCACCATTTCACTAATTTTTTAAATTTCAAGAATGCTATATAAATGGAGTATCACACCTGCATACAATATGTAGATCTTGTGACTGGCTTTTTTTTCTTTTAGCATAATTGCCTTGAAATTCATCCAAGTTGTTGCATGTACCAATGGTTGAATAGTATTCCATGGTGTGAATATACCACAATTTTTTTGTTTTTTGTTTTGTTGTTGTTGTTGTTTTTAATGTGCCACAATTTTAAAAACTATTCCTCCATTTAAGGATATTTGAATTATTTCCCAATTTTGGCTATAATGAATAAAATTAATATGAACATTCGTGTACAGATTTTGTGTGAACACAGTTTCCAGTTCTCTGGGAGAAATGCGTAAGAGTTCCATTGCTGAGTCATACGGTAAGCGCATTTGGGGTTTTACAAGAAACTGTCAAACTATTTTCAAGAGTGGATGTACTGTATTACTATATTATATATACTGCAATGTATGGGTGATCTAGTTCTCCACATCCTCACCCACATTTGCTGTTGTCACAATATTTTAGCCATTCTGATAGGTGTGTAGCTCTCCCAGAAATGGAATCTTAAACCAGTCATTCAGGAACTGCCTGATCAGCATTAATTAGGTAATCTGCTTAATGGACTCCTGCTAGCCCCTAAAGGAAAGTAACCTTGCAATAACAAATCTGATATTTATTTATTTATTTATTTATTTGCCTAGTACAATTTCCTTGTTCCTGTTCCCTTCTGACTATAAAATCTCTTGCTTTGTATGGCTCTTTGGAACTCCTTTTTATCTGCTAGATTGAATGCTACCCAATTAAGGAATGTTGAATAAAGCCAGGGAGATCTTTAAATTTTACCCAGTTGAATTTTAACATAGCAGTGGTCTCTAGTTGCCTGGTATCTGTCTCTGAGATGATATAGGGCAGAGGAAGTATTGACTTGAGGTAGATAAGGAGATGGTTGGGATATATAGACTCTGGTTTGGTTGATTTATATGTAAAAGTCATGCTTCTTGCTAAGCCCCTTGCTATTTCTAAGAATTGGCTAGCCCTTGGAGGGACTCTCTCTCCAGATCTGTAAGGCTCCCAAATGCCAGATCAAGAATACAGAAAATAAGAAAATATACTTAATGCAACTGGCCCTGTGGTGAATAGATGCCAAACAAGACAAACACAGAATCTAAGAAAACACAGAACACATATACACAATAGAATAATACCCATCAATAAAATGGAATTAGCTATTGATACATGCAACAACTTGGATGGAACTTAAGGGCATTATGCTTAATGAACAAAAGCCAATATCAAAAGGTACATTTTGTATGATTCTATTCAACATCTTCAAAATGACAAAACTATAGTAACAGTGAACAGATAATTGGACAAGGAGAGTAAATAGAAAACAGCTTCATTTTTGTCTCTCATTGTCACTTTAAATATGTTCGGTGGAGCTAGATCTTCCCTGATCCTGTTGAAAATTTATTTAGAGATCATGATTTTTTTTTATCACACCTACAAATGGTTTCAGCTCAGTAATAACAATGTCCAGTCTTCATGGCTGAGCAAAAATTAAGACTTCTTCCTCTGCTTCGATCTGTTTACAGTTTATGCCAAACTGTATTTTCCAAAAGTGAGTGCAACTATATTTTTGGTCCCACATGGTCTTCCAGAACCTTGCCACTTTCCCATCAGAAAGTGGAGACAATTTCCCCTTTCCACTGAATCTGGATGGACCTTTTAAATTGTGAGTACAGTGGAAATGATGCTATGTGATTCTGAGGCTAGGTGTAAAACATGATAGAGCTTCCATCTGGATCTTTCTTGGGACTCTTGCCTTTAGAACCCTGAGCTGCAGTGTAAGATGTCTGAGTCTACCATGCTGTTAAGAAGCCCAAACTAGCCCACACAGAGAGACCACATGGAGAAACCCTAAGATTACATGAAATAAGAGAGATGTCCCACCAGCTCCCAGTGGCTCCGGGAACTCTGCACTCTTCCAGGTTCAGCTATCATGAAAAATTTGAGCCAAAACTGTCCATCCAGATTGTTCCAGAATTCCTGACCCAGAGAAACCATGAAAGATAGTAAATGATTGCTGTTGTTTGAAACCATTAAACTTGACAGACTGGATATACAAACAGACAATGACAGATCATATATGCCAACAGAATTCTGACCTACAAACTCTGCAGCAACCAACTAGTTTCCAATCAGGAAACGAAACTAAACCTTGGCAGTGATCAGCCCACAACATTCAGGCTTTGGACAATGACTGCTAGCTCCCCTCCCACTTTTTTTTTTTTTTTTGTGCCTCTGCTTCCGGTTCAGGACCAACCAGAGAAAGCCAAATTCGATCCCAAACCAGTCATATAATATGCACTGCTTCTTTTTAGCTCACCTCCAGCGTCTCTATGCCAATAATCTCCAATCACTGTATTCCTGAAGCCTTCCCTTTTTTTTTTTTTTAAGATTTTATTTATTTATTTGAGAGAGAGAGAATGAGAGACAGAGAGCACGAGAGGGAAGAGGGCAGAGGGAGAAGCAGACCCCCTCCCGAGCAGGGAGCCCGATGTGGGACTCGATCCCGGGACTCCAGGATCATGACCTGAGCCGAAGGCAGTCGCCTAACCAACTGAGCCACCCAGGCGCCCTGAAGCCTTCCCTTTTTCACTATAAAGTTTTCCTACTCCCCTGCCTGCCTTTGAGCTCTGCCAAACACAGGTGATGGTGGTTGTAATACCAGTAATTTGAAACAACCTAATGATAACAAGATAAGACAATTACATAAGTGGCATGTAGAATTTACAAAATATTATGGAAGAACACTTCGTGTTCATATATATTTGATTTAAAAAGCAGGTTAGGGGAGGGTATGTGCTATGGTGAGCGCTGTGAATTGTGTAGGACTGTTGAATCACAGACCTGTACCTCTGAAACAAATAATACATTATATGTAAAAAAAAAAAAAAAAAGAAGAAGATAGCAGGAAGGGAAAAATGAAGGGGGGGAAGTTAGAGGGGGAGACGAATCATGAGAGACTATGGACTCTGAGAAACAAACTGAGGGTTCTAGAGGGGAGGGGGTGGGGGCATGGGTTAGCCTGGTGATGGGTATTAAAGAGGGCAAGTACTGCATGGAGCACTGGGTGTTATACTCAACAATGAATCATGGAACACTTTAACATAACATAATTAACATTAACATAACATAATTAAAATTAAATAATTAATAATTATTAATAATTAAATAATTAATAATTAATCATTAAATAATAAATAATTTTTTTTAAGGCAGGTTAAGCTGACATAAATAGGGGCGCCTGGGTGGCTCAGTTGGTTAAGCGACTGCCTTCAGCTAAGGTCGTGATCCTGGAGTCCCAGGATCGAGTCCCAGGATCGAGTCCCAGGATCGAGTCCCAGAATTGAGTGCGACATCGGGCTCCCTGCTCGGCAGGGAGTCTGCTTCTCCCTCTGACTCTCCCCCCTCTGGTGCTCTATCATTCTCCCTCTTTCAAATAAATAAATTAATACAAATCTTAAAAAAAAAAGATGACGTAAATATTCACATAAAAGATATAAGCTTAAATACAGCTAAGTGTGAACAGACTAATTACAGGCATTTTTTACATCTGATTGTAGACCGCGGAGGCACGTGTCTGTCTTTGTGCAGGTGGGTCCAGCCCCCACGAGCGGGACCACCACGGCTTAGCCTCTGCGTTCACCTACGCGGGTCTCGCCTCCGGGAGGGGTACCGAGCGCGCCCGGCCTGCGCGGGGCTTCTGGGAGTTGTGGTCCAGCCGCCAGGCCCCCGCGCCGGGGCGCCAGCTGCTGGGCCTTCTCGGTCTGAAGCGCGAGTGGGCTGGGCCGTTCTCGGGGACGCGGCCATGAAGGTCTCGTGGCGGCCTCCGTACCCAAGACCTCCCAGGCGGACGCCCGGAGAGGTGAGTCCGCCAGTCTTAAGGGCTGAGGGCGGCGGGAATAGCGGAGAGTACCCGGGTCGTGCGAAGGGGGACCAGGGAAAACCGAACGTTCGGGGCTCGCAGGGTCTGGGGGGCGACATGGGGGGTTCTTGGTTCTATTGAGATGCGCGGATGGCTGCGACTGTGTGTTCCCGGGTTGGTGAGCTGTGATGCATCCTTGGGTTGGGGGGAGGGTGGGCAGAAGCCAGGGGTCCCTTGGATAAATCTCGCCCGGGCATTTTGGTTTGGGGGGGCAGCTGGGCCATGGGAACCCCAGGTTGGTGGAGAGAGGACAGTGAGGTAGGGTACAGGGGTTTGGGGGGGGGGACCGTCTAGGGCTGCATGTTCTTAGGTGTTTGTGGGAGTGGCTAGATCTGTGCATTCTCGGGTTTGGGCGATGAGGGAGGAGTTAGTAAGTGGATGCCCCTGCCCAGATATCTTCAACAGAGAATTCTCCATACTCTTGGCCAGAAAGGCTAGAGGGGTGTTGTTTTCACTTTGTTGTCCCAGTGGAAGTTATGGCCCCAGATGTTAAAGGTGGAGGTGCCCCAGTTGTGAATTTGGTATCCCAGGCCACCCCTGAGTCACAGACTGGCTATATTAAGCAAAGCCCCTCTGAGTGCAGAGATTGAAGGATATGCGACTTCTCCATTCTTCACGGTCTTGCAGGTGGACTTTGGTTCTTGACGCTTTTCTTTTTAAGTTTTTATTTTAATTCCAGTTAGTTAACATACAGTGTTATATTAGTTTCAGGTGTACAATATAGTGATTAATACTTCCATATATCACCTTGTGCTCATTACAGGTGCACTCGTTAATGCCCATCACCGATTTAATCCTTCCCCCACCCCCCTTCCCTCAGGTAACCATCAGTTTCCTCTCTATAATTGAGTTGGTTTCTTGATTTCTCTCTCTCTCTCTTATTGTTTTCCCTTTGCTTTTTTGTTTTGTTTCTTATTTCTACATGAGTGAAAGCATATAGTATTTATCTTTCTCTGATTTATTTTGCTTAGCATTGTACTCTGTAGTTGCATCTATGTCGTTGCAAATGGCAAGATTTCATTCTTTTTATGGCTGAATAATATTCCATTGTATATATATACTGCCTCTTCTTCATCCATTCATCAACTGATGGACACTTGGGCTGCTTCCATATCTTGCCTATTGTAAACAGTGCTGCTAGAAACATCACGGTGCCTGTATCTCTTTGAATGAGTGTAAATACCCATAAATACCCAGTAGTGTAACTGCTGGATCGCAAGGTAGTTCTATTTTTAACTTTTTGAGGAACCTCCATACTGTTTTCTGCAGTGGCTACACCAGTTTGCATTCCCACCAACAGTGCAAGAGGGTTCCTTTATCTCTACATCCTCACCAACACTTGTTGTTTGTTGTGTTGTTGATTTTAGCCATTCTGACAAGTGTGAGGTGATATCTCATTGTACTGTTGATTTGCATTTCCCTGATGATGAGTGATGTTGAGCATCTTTTCATGTGTCTGTTGGCCATCTGTATGTCTTCTTTGGAGAAATATCTGTTCATGTCTTCTGCCCATTTGTTAATTGGATTATTTGTGTTTTGTTTTGTTTTTAAAGATTTTATTTATTTATTTATTTGAGAGAGAGAGAGAGAGAAACAGCATGAGAGGGAAGAGGGTCAGAGGGAGAAGCAGGCTCCCCGCCAAGCCGGGAGCCCGATGTGGGACTCGATCCTAGGACTCCGGGACCATGACCTGAGCCGAAGGCAGTCGCTTAACCAACTGAGCCATCCAGGTGCCCTGGATTATTTGTGTTTTGGGTGTTGAGTTTTATAAGTTCTTTATATATTTTGGATACTAACCCTTTATTGGATATGTTATTTACAAATATCTTCTCCCATTCCATAGGTGTCTTTTGGTTTTGTTGATTGTTTCCTTTGCTGTGCAGAAGTTTTTTATTTTGATACAGTCCCAATAGTTTATTTTTACTTTTGTCTCCTTCCCTGAGGAGACATATCTAGAAAGAAGTTGCTATGGTCGATGCCAAAGAAGTTACTGCCTATGTTCTCTTCTAGGATTTTTATCGTTTCAGGTCTCCATTTAGATCTTTAATCCATTTTGAATTTATTTTTTGTGTATGGTGTAAGAAAGTGGTCCAGTTTCATTCTTTTGCATGTCGCTGTCCAGTTTTCCCAACACCATTTGTTGAAAAGACTGTCCTTTTCCCATTGGATAGTCTTTCCTGCTTCATTGAAGATTAATTGGCCATATAATTGTGAGTTTATTTCTGGATTTTCTATTGATGCTTTTATTTTCCTTTTAGGTGAGGGTGGATCTGCACAGACTGGGTATGAGGATTTCTGGCATGTGACTCAATCCTCATTTCTCCCAGCTCCCTATTCTGCCCTTTTTGGAATCTGCTGGCCCTGAGTGATCTGTGAAGAGAGGAGAAAATGGTCCCCAGGTTCCTGGCAGCAAGACCCCCAGTGAGTGGGATTTAACCTCTTTCGTGCAGTAATCCCTGTCCCCAGTTAGGTGACATGTTTGTTCACTGCCTTGCGGAGCCCACCAGGACTCTAAGACAAACATGAAACATGGCACAGCTTTAGGATACTCCAGAGGAGAGCCCACTCTCCCTCCTCAATGCACTCCCCCAACCCCACCACCATATCAGAGCCCTGGCACACCTTAACCTTTGCCCCTACTTCCATTAATTTAGGTCACAAATGGTCCAGTATCTCTTCCACAAGCCCCAGTGTATACCGTGTACATTGAGAAGTACTGTCCTTTCTTGCGGGCTTTGTAGGCCTTGTTAAAATGGTTTTTGTTTGGTTTTGTTTTTTACTGCAATGGATTTTAAAATTTAAATGATACCAAATTTACAGAAGAATTGCAATAATAGTACAAAGAACACCAATATTGCCTTTACTCATATTCATCAATTGCCAGCTTTTTGTCACAGTTACTCTATCATTGCATCTCTGTGTATTTATCATTTTCTGAATCATTTGAGGCTAAATTGTGGACATGATCATGTCTTTTACCTCTAATTACCTTGGCACGCATCTTCTATAAGCAAGAACAGCCCCTTAAATGACCATAGTATAATTTAGAAAATTTAACCGTGATACAATACTATTGTCTGATCTCTAACCCGTAATTAAAATTTGCCAGTTGTCTTAATTACTTTCTTTATGGCCTTTTTCCCTTTGTTTCCTCTCTTTAGTCTTCTTTAATCTGGAACACTTTCTTTTTATTTTTTTAAAGATTTTATTTATTTATTTGACAGAGAGACACAGCGAGAGAGGGAATACAAGCAGTGGGAGTGGGAGAGGGAGAGGCAGGCTTCCCACCGAGCAGGGAGCCCAATGAGGGGCTCGATCCCAGAACTCCGGGATCATGACCTGAGCTGAAGACAGACGCTTAACGGCTGAGCCACCCAGGCGCCCCTCTCTGTCTTTCTTGATCATGATTTTTGATGAGTGCAGGCTTAGCTGTTTTGTAGAATGTTCCCCAGTTAAGATTTATTTGATAGTCCTTCATGATTAGATTTAGGTTTTACACTTTTGGCAGGAATGATGCAGAAGTGACTTGTCCTCAGTGTGTCATATCAGATAGCACATAATATTGATTTGTTTCATTACTAGTGATATTAACTTTGGTGACTTAAATTAATGTAGGGTTGGGGTGCTTGGGTGGCAGTCAGTTAAGTTTTCAACTCTTGATTTTGGCTCATGTCATGGTCTCAGGGTCCTGGGATCGAGCCTGTGTCAGGCTCCATGCTTGGTGCAGAGTCTCCTTGGGATTCTCTCTCTCCCTCTCCCTCTGCCCCTCTTCCTGTTTGCACTCCCTCCCTCTCTCTCTATAAATAAAATAAAATAAAATCTTTTAAAAAATTAATGTAGGGTCTCCCAGTTTTTTCCACTGTAAAGTTTCTCTTTGGGGGTTGGAGAGGAAGAGGCAGACCTCTTAAGCCAGCTTGTCACTGTCATGTGGAAGGTACATCAAAGCCTATAAGGACAGTAAAAAGCTCAGTGGTTACCAGGGTTGACCGGAAGTGGTGAGTAGGAAGAGTGCAGAGGATTTTTAGGGCAGTGAAAATACTCTGTATGATACCATAATAATGGATATATATCATTATACATTTGTCCAAACCCATAGAATGTACAAAATCAAGAGTGAACTCTAATGTAAACTATGGACTTTGAATCTCAAGCTTATTCTCCTGATTCATACAATGTGGTGTGGGCAGCACCTCTGGAATTGTGTAGCTTTGGGTGTACTCTGGTTGAAGTTTGAGTCTTCCCATCAAAGAAATTTTAAGGGCTGGAGAGCTTTAAATATGTCTCATATGTCTTTTCCATCTTCTACAAAATATAATGGAAGCAGGTGCATGGATGTTTGCCAAAATCAGGACCCTAGAAACCATCAAGATTCACTGTACTTGTCAACTGCATTACTCTGTGGGAATGGGTATGTCTGTGTGTGACTATGTCTGTCATTTTAACAGCTGGTGACATTCAAGGATGTGGCTGTGGACTTTGCCCAAGAGGAGTGGGAACATCTGGACGCTTCTCAGAGTCACCTGTACGGAGAAGTGATGTTGGAGAACTATGAGAATCTCATCTCCTTGGGTGAGCACAGCATCTTCCCGAACCCATCTGCTCTCACAGTGGGTTCAACCAAATGGATTAAATCCTGAGGGGATTAGCATTTGGGCACCCACATATTCCAGATCCCTTATAGCAGAGGGTATCAGATTTGAGAGTGCAGAAAAATACCTGATATTAGAAATGCCAGTTCCTGTCCAACTTAAAGAAGATTAAAGACACATTACAACTAAATGCAATGCTAAAAAATGTCCAGGAAGAGTGCCAAAAGGGACATATTGGCGTCTTTTGCAAATTAACTGGATTATGTAAAATACTGTGTCAGTGTTAAGTCCCCTGATTTTGATGACTGTGCTGCTGTTATGGGAGAGAATGTCCTTGTTCTTAGGAAATACCTACTAAGAATTGGGTCCTAGAGAGCCATGGGGCCTATAACTTTCTCTCAGATGGTTTTAGAAAAGAATTGTGTGTGTGGAGAGAGAAAGAAAGTAATAAAATAAACGGGCCAAACAATAACAACTGGTGAATATGGGTCAGGGTTCTATGGGTGTTCTTGGTGTTACTCTTGCTACTTTTCTATAAAGTACGAGGTTATCCAAAAAACCTACAACCCTGGCTTCTATCACCAGTGCTACTGATTCAGTGGATTTGGGATGGAGTCTGCATTTTTGACAAGTTTCTTCAAATCATACTTGGGGCTGCACTTCCTCGGCCTCATCACTGCCTATTCAACCCATTGAGCATTATTACTGTTTTATATTGCAAATGGGTCTCTTCACTGAAGTTCCCAAGAATTCCTGGAACTTTCCTTGTTTAGGGAATATATATACATATTTGTAAGTGTATAAGTAAATGCAAAATGTGATATTAATGTATAGTAGGTTTATTCACCTTTCTCAGTCTTCAGAGGATCTTCACAGATACCAAGGCCTAGATTTGACCTGTGTGAGGGTCCTTAGTCACATTGCAGGGCCCTAATCCACATGTCTTTCCCCTCAAGCAGGGCATCTGCTCTCCAAACCGGAAATGATTTTCTATTTTGAACAAGAAGATGGTGTATGGATGGAGGAAGAAATGCCAAGAAGCTCCTATTCAGGTGAGAACCAGTCAGCCAGGAGTAAATGCCATCAGTAACCCACGAATCCATGAAGGGATGGGTAGCAATTTTAAAAATACATCTTGTTTGACTTTTTATGCTTTTCATTTAATTGAAAATATTTAAATATTTTTTTGATTGGAGACAAATACCTTTGTTTATAAAAGCATTAAATGCTCAGGCTCCATACATGCTTAAGAACCAGCCTTACCATCTTATTGGTTCCTCATTAAAATTTTTGACAGATGTTCACTCCATATTTGGGGGGTGTGTGTGTGTGTGTGTGTGTGTGAATGAATGAAGTAAGCTCTACCCCCAACACATGGCTTGAATTCACAACCCTGAGATCAAGAGTCGCCAGCCAGGTGCCCCTGTTCACTTCATATTTATAAAAGTTATCTTTTTAACTTTTTGATAATTATGCTTTAACAACACTAAAACATTTGTAGTTCACAGAGTTTAATCAAGTGTTTTAGTAACACTTCATTTCCTCACTAAGGAAAGGGTTCTCCGTATGTTCCCTTTACCCCTGAAGCAAAAATGAAAAACCCAAGGTCAAGAGGACAAAGACCAGCAGCCCAACACTTCTCTACTTCGCGAAGCTTCTCAGCCTTACCGGCGCTGCCTGAGAGTGTGTCCAGAGTGTGCACCATGCAGCCTTGGACAAAACCCCTGCTCGCTTCATCATCTAGTTTTTTTTGTCCCAGGTGTCAGGGATGAGAATGATGGGATTCTCCCTTGGCAGACATCTCCAAGAGAAAAACCCTACAGCTGTCCCCAGTGTGGCCAAGACTTCAGACAGCTCAGAAACCTTCTACTTCACCAGCAAACCCATACAGGAGAGAAGCCCTCTCCATACGCTGGGCGTGGAAGAGCCTTCAGGGTAAGGACAGCAGACCTTAACTTTCCCAGGCTCCTTCCCAGAGAAAAGGCCTACCAATGCATGGAGAGTTCCAGAGTCTCCAACTCAGGATCCACTCTGAGAAGGCACAGGAAGGACCACATGGGAAAGAAACCTCCCACGTGTGAGGAATGTGGGAGGGACTTCAGCTGCAGCTCCAACCTGTCCATCCACCGGCGCGTCCACACGGGCGAGAGGCCCTTCAGGTGCCAAGACTGCGACAAGGACTTCAGCCGCAGGGCAGCCCTGCAGACCCACCAGAACGTCCACGTAGGAAGGAAGCCCCATGCTTGCGAGGTGTGTGGCTGGGGCTTCACTCTGCGCTCTACGCTGGCGCGACACCAGCAGGACCGTGCAGGAGACAAGGGCTATGTGTGTGACACATGTGGCTGGGGTTTCAGCCAGAGAGCCAGCCTCTACCTGCACCAGTGCGTCCATACTGGGGAGAGACTATTCGGCGTGAGGCCTGAGGGAAGCAGTTCGGCCGGAGCAAGGACCTGGGCATCCACCAGAGGGTCCACACGGGAGAGCAGCCCTACAGGTGTGGGGCTTGTGAGAGGGACTTCAGGCACTGTTCAGCCCTCAGGAGCCACCAGAGGGTGCACACAGGGGAGAAGCCCTATCCCTGTGCCGTGTGTGGGAGGGGGTTCAGTCAGAGAGTCCACCTGCAGACGCACCAGAAGGTGCACTGTAGGGAGAGGCTTTTGGGACTGGGCGTTGCCAAATGTCAGAACAGCAGTTGTCTGGAAGGTGCCTTCCAGAGCCCGGAGGAATGCCAGGGCATGGGTGCTGAGATACACGGCATGGCAGGCTTAACGGTATAGGGCATTTATTCCTGTTTAGATGGGAAAGATGTCATAGCATGCAGGTTGGTAGATTTTCACAAAGTGAACACACCCGTGTCCAGCACCTGACTGGAGAAACGGAACATTTCCAGCTCTTCCTAGAGACGTCTGCCTGCTCCCTTCTGCTTGGCCCCCTACAAAGGAAATCACTCTCCGGACTTCTAAAACCATATATTTTGCAAGTTCTAGAATATCATGTAAGTGGAATTTTACAGCATGTAGTCTTTTATGTAGGACTTCATTCACTCAGTGTTTGCAGGAATCACCCATGTTGTTGCAGGTACTCTTTTTTTTTTTTTTTAAAGATTTTATTTATTTATTTGACAGAGAGAGACACAGCGAGAGAGGGAACACAAGCAGGGGGAGTGGGAGAGGGAGAAGCAGGCTCCCCACAGAGCAGGGAGCCCGATGCGGGACTCGATCCCAGGACCGTGGGATCATGACCTGAGCTGAAGGCAGTCGCTTAACCAACTGAGCCACCCAGGCGCCCTGTTGCAGGTACTCTTAAGTTCATCTATTTTATTACTAAATAGTATTCCATACAACACAAGTGCAGTTTGTCCGTTCGCTTGTTGGTGGACATTTACATTTGGACATTTGGGTTGTTTCCAGTTTTTGGCTTTATAAATAAAGCTGCTGTGAACATCTGGGTACACATATACTCTGTGTGGACATACACTTTAATTTCTTTTGGGTATTTATAGGAGTAGAATTGACGAGTATTCTAAAACTTTTTCAAAAACTGAATTTATTGAAGTCTTAAAACACATGATTAACTTTTACTATATGTCAATAGACAGGAAATAATTATGCAATTTAACAATGTTATCTTGCACATTGGATTTTTACATGTACCTGGAAATTTTCAAACAAATATAGAAAAAGAGCAGTGTAACAAACTCATGTCCCCATCATCTAGCTACTCATGATGAATTGTCTCCCTTATTCCATCCTCCTCCCTCACACACACAATCCTGAAGTATTTTAAAGCAAATCCTAGACTATGATATTGTTTCATCTTTAAATACTTTTGTATATATCTTCAAAAAATAAATATTTATTTAAAATTTTTTTCCAAAGAATTATCCTTTGCTTTAAAATTTTTTTATTGAGGTAAAATTCAGGTAACATAAAATTTACTATTTTAACGTTTCAGAGAGCACAGCTGAGTAGTTTTAGTACATTTACAAAGTTGTCTAACCATCACCACCGTCTACTTCCAGGGCATTTTCTTTTTTTTTTTTTTTTTTAAGATTTTATTTATTTATTTGACAGAGAGACAGCGAGAGAGGGAACACAAGCTGGGGAGTGGGAGACGGAGAAGCAGGCTTCCCGCGGAGCAGGGAGCCCGATACGGGACTCGATCCCAGGACCCTGGGATCGTGACCTGAGCCGAAGGCAGACACTTAACGACTGAGCCACCCAGGCGCCCTCCAGGGCATTTTCATCAGGCCAAAAAGAAAACCCCTTACCGTTAAGCAGTCGCTCCCCATTCTTCCCTCCCACCTACCTCTGGCAACCACTAACTTACTTTCTGTCCCTATAGATTTGCCTATTCTGGGCATTCGATATAAATGGAATCACAAACTATGTGGCCTTCTATGGCTGCGTTCACTTCGCATAATATTTTCACGGTTCATCCCCGTTGTAGCAGGTGTCCATACTACATTCCTTCTTATGGCTGAACAATATTCTATTGTATGGATATGGCACATATTTTATCCATTCTTCAGTTGATGGACATTTGAGTTGTTTCCAGTTTGGAGCTATTATGAAAAATGTTATGATGAACATTCAATTCATGTACAAGGTTTTCATTGAGTATAGGCATTTAATTCTCTTGGATATATGTGGAAGAGTGGAATTCATGGATCATATGATCATTCTATCTTTTTTTAAAGATTTTATTTATTTATTTGAGAGAGAGAGAGAGAATGAGAGACAGAGAGCACGAGAGGGAAGAGGGCAGAGGGGGAAGCAGACCCCCTGCTGAGCAGGGAGCCCGATCCCGGGACTCCAGGATCATGACCTGAGCCGAAGGCAGTCGCTTAACCAGCTGAGCCACCCAGGTGCCTGATCATTCTATCTTTCGCTTTTTGAGGAGCTGCCAAATTGTTTCCCATAGTGGTTACACCATCTTACTTTGCCACTAGCAATGTATGAGGATTCCGGTTCCTCCACATTTTCACCAACAATTGTCATTCCCCGTCCTCCCCCCACCCTTTTTTTAAATCCTAATCCCATTGGTAGCTGTGAAGTGGTATCTTACTGTGGTTTTGATTTACATTTCTGTAATTACTAATGATGTTGAGTTTCTTCTCATGTGTTTATTGGCCATTTGTATATCTTTTTTAGGGAAATGTCTATTCAAGTCCTTTGCCCATTTTAAAACTGGATTATCTTTTTGTTGTTGAACTGTAAAAATTATTTATATGTTACTATCATTTGCAAATATAGTCTCCCATTCTGTGGGTTGTATTTTCACTTTCTTGGTGGTTTCCTTTGATGCACAGGTTTTAATTTTGATGAAGTCTAATTTATTTGCTTTTTTCTTGATATTTGTGCTTTTGATGTTCTATTTAAGAAATGGTTACCTAGGGGGTGCCTGGGTGGCTCAGTCGTTAAGCGTCTGCCTTCGGCTCAGGTCATGATCCCAGGGTCCTGGGATCGAGCCCCGCATCGGGCTCCCTGCTCAGCAGAAAGCCTGCTTCTCCCTCTCCCACTCCCCCTGCTTGTGTTCCCTCTCTCTCTGTGTCTCTCTCTGTCAAATGAATAAATAAAATCTTTAAAAAAAAAAAAAAAGAAATGGTTACCTAGGGACGTCTGGGTGGGTTAGTCGGTTAAGCATCTGCCTTCGGCTCAGGTCATGATCCCACAGTTCTGGGATCAAGTCCCACATCAGGCTTCTTGCTCATCGAGGAGCCTGCTTCTCCCTCTGCCTGCCGCTCTCCCTGCTTGACTCTCTCTCTCTCTCTGATGAACAAATAAATAAAATCTTTAAAAAAAAAAAAGAAAAGAAATGGTTACCTAATACAAAATCACAAAATTTTATACCTATATTTCCTTTTAAGAGTTTCATAGTTTTAGCTCTTACATTTATGTCCTTGATCCATTTATAGTTTTTATATGGTATAAGGTAGGGGTCCAAGTTCCTCCTTTTACATGTTGATACCCAATTGTCCCAGCACCATTTGTTGAAAAGACTATTCTTTCCCCACTGAATAGTCTTGCACACTTGTTGAAAATCAATTGACCTTAGATACATGGGTTTATCTCTAGCTTCCCAATTCAATTTCATTGATATATGTCTAGCCTTTGCTAGTACCATACTGGTTTGATTCTGTAACATTGTAGTAAGTTTTGAAAACAGGAAATGTGAGTCTTCCAATTTTCCTATTTTTCAAGATGATTTTGGCCATTCTGAGTCCTTTGCAACACCATATAAATTTTAGGATCAGCTTGTCCATTTCTGCAAGAGAAGGCCATTGGGATTTTGATAGGGATTGCATTGGATCTGCAGTAACTTTGGGGAATATTGCCATCTTAACAACATTAAGGCTTATAATCCATGAACACAGGATGTCTTTCCATTTATTTAAGTCTTTAATTTCTTTCAACAGTGTTTTATATTTTTCGGTATACAAATCTTTCACCTTGTTAGGTAAAGTTAAGAATCTTGTTTTAAATTTCATTTTGGGATTGTTCATTACCAGTATATAGAAATACAACTGATTTTTGAACATTGATTTTTGTATCCTGCAACTTTGCTGAACTCATTTATTAGGTCTAATAATTTTTAGTGGATTCTTTAGAGTTTTCTATATACAAGATCATATTATCTGTGAACAGAGATAGTTTTTGCTTTTTTCCTTTCCAATTTGGATGACTTTTACTTCTTTTTCTTGCCCAGTTGCCTTGGCTAGAACTTCCAGTATGATGTTTAAGAGAAGTGGCAAGAGCAGACATCCTTGTCTTGTTCCTTGTCTTAGAGGAGAAAGCTTTCACTATTAATTTTCATAGATGCCCTTTTCTCTTTGTTCTATTAATATGATATATTTCATTCATGGATTTTCCTATGTTGAACCAGCCTTACATTCCTGGGATACATCCCACTTGGTCATGGTGCATAGTTTTTTTATTTATTTATTATTTATTTATTTTTAAAATTTCATTTATTTATTTGAGAGAGAGAATGAGGTAGAGAGAGAGCATGAGAGGGGGAGGGTCAGAGGGAGAAGCAGACTCCCCGTTGAGCAGGGAGCCCGATGTGGGACTCGATCCTGGGACTCCAGGGTCATGACCTGAGCCAAAGGCAGTCGCCCAACCAACTGAGCCACCCAGGCGCCCCTGCATAGTTTTTTTATATGCAGCTTAATTCAATTTGCTAGTATTTTATTGAGGATTCTTACATTTCTATTCATAAAGAATATTGGTCTGTAGTTTTCTGTGATGTATTTATCTGGCTTTGATATTAGGGTAATACTGGTCTCATAGAATGAATTTGGAAGCATTCTCTTCTATTTTTTTGGAAGAGTTTCAGAAGTATTGGTGCTAATTCTTTAAATGTTCGGTAGAATTCACCAGTAAAACCACAGTAGACCACGTCTATTTGTTAGACGTTTTCTTAGTCATTTTGGGGTGCTATAATAAAATAACCATAGATGATGTAGCCTAAACAACAAACATTTATTTCTCACAGTTCTGGAAGCTGGGGAGTCCAAGGTCAAGGTCCCACCAGATTCAGCATCTGGTAAGGACCTTCTTTCTGATTTGCAGACAGCTGCCTGCTTGCTGTATCCTCATATGGCAGAAGGGGAGAGAGAGAGCACACTCTCTGGTTTCTTCTTATAAGGGTACTAGTCCCATCGTGGCAACCCTGCCCTCATGACTTCATCTAAGCCTAATTATCTCTCAAAGCCTCCACCTTGAAATATCTTCATGTGGGAGGTTAGGATTTCAACATATGAATTT